ATTTGAGGTTTTCCCAAGCTTTATCTATATAGCACATGGTAATTAAAAGTACCAGACTGGTGGAACTAACCTTATTGAATGTTTAACAGTTATACTTTGAGGCCTATACTAATCTGGTCAGAGGTACTTAAAGGATAGTTTTTGTCCCTTGCCCTCCAAGGTCAACTAAGTTCCAGGGGACTATGGAACATCTCTCAAAATGTCCTGTAACTGTGGTCAGTTACCAGTCCTCTTGTTCAGGGAGGACATGGAGACCCCAAGAGATGGACTTGAACCAGTGTCCAGTCTACAAAGAAGAGGGTCAACTCAGAGGAAACAACTCATCCATGCTTCCAAGTGAAGCCACTCGTGGTCGAGCAGGACATTTGACTTATCTTCTCATAGATGGAACTGGTAAAAAAAAAAAAAAAAAGAAGCCAGGGGCTCCTCCCAAGCCCATGCGACCCCTGAGGAACAGATCCTCTATCGACCTTAAGTGTAAAAATAAATTGATTTATTTGGGTCAACTGTATGGTCTTAAACACCCAAAAAGGAAAGTAGAACCAAAGAGTAAAGTCATCAGTATATTTCTTTAAGAGTTCAAGGGATTATACTTCCCAGACATTAGGCTTAAGTCCATATAAAAGGTTATTTAGACAATTATTTCTCATTGATAATTTTTTTCTAATCAAAAAGTGCTGCTCAGATGTAAGATTTCAAATCCTGGTCTGCATTACTGTAGTGCCCACCTGTATGTAGCTAAGGAAGACAACCCGCTATTCTAAAATGATGGGTAAATTTGTTTTCTCCCCCTATCTAGAAGCCTTTGAGAGGGAACTGACACTGATTCTAACCACTCCAACAGCTATCAAAATACCTGAAAGTAAATCCTGAATCCATCACTCTCAAGTCCAGCCTTGGCATACAAAAGAAAAATGAGGAGGAATGCTTTTGGAAGTCCTTGTCAAGAAATTCCAATGGACTGTCATTGAAACATTTGAAAGTTGCCCTGTTCTAGTTCCCTGTCTAGAACTTGTAATGCTAATTACTCTTGCCTTTACTTCTCCTTCACATCTATTCAGGATTCAAGGACTTTCTTTTCCACCTACAGATAAGAGTTATACAACTTTTAGATAGACCCACTGAAGTGGTACCCCAAATTGCCTCACCCTGCATTCCTGTTCAGCATAGAAGCCAGAATGGTCTGCGTCCTGATTCCCTATCCACAACATGGGTAACCTCTTCAGAGGATGGTGTGCTAAGAGTAAGAGGTAGGGCCGGGCGTGGTAGTGCACGCCTGTAGTCCCAGCACTTGGGAGGCAGAGGCAGGCAGATCTCTGTAAGTTCAAGGCCAGCCTGGTCTACATAGTGAGTTCTAGGACAGCTCGGGCTACAGGGGAGACCCTGTCTCAAAAAGACCAAAAAAAGAAGAAAAGAAAAGGAGGTAGGAATTGGATAGGCAGTTAAGGTAAAAAAAAAAAAAGACCCCAAAGAAAAGTAGCCAGTTTCTTGGCTAAAATTCACAATGTCCTTGGGCCTCTTTAGCAACATACTCCACTCCCAAGGCCAAAATGAAAGTATTTGGGAGCTTTTATCTAATCCTTAAAAGATTTTAGGGTTACCTCTTAGAGAGGGAATGTTAAGAGTAGCCAAAATCCCCATATAAATAAATAAAATAAGGAAGAGTACATGAAGTTATCAGAAAAAAGTAATAGGGAGATATAGGAGGAGTTGGAGGGGAAGGAGTGGGCATGGATTTGATCAAAACACCTTATATACATGTATGAAATTCTCATTTTTAAAAAAATTTTAACATACAGACAGTACACTCATATGCATAAAAAATAATAAACAAAATATTTTTGAAAGCACAAAAAAAAAAAATTTTAGGGGGCTGGAGAGATGGCTCAGCGGTTAAGAACACTGGCTGTTCTTGCAGAAGACTCAGGTTCAAATCCCAGCACCCACATGGCAGCTAACAGTTCCAAGGGATCCAACAGCCTCTTCTTTCTTCCAAGGGCATTGCATGACACAGGTGCACTTTCCTACATGCAGGCAATACACACATACACATAAAAATAATATATTTTTTAATTTAATTATGTGCACATTGTGTATAGGTTTGTGATATGTATTCAGTGCTGGAGTTACAAGCAGTTGTGAACTGATATGGGTACTGGGAATCAAACTCTGATCCTCTGGAAGAGCAGTGCTCACCACTGAACCCTCTAATTTTTTTATTTAGTGTATGCATCTATGTATAATGTATGTTCAAGAATGCAGGCACAAACATGCCACAATGTTCATGTGGAAGTCAGAGGACAATTTCTTGGAGTCTGTTCTTACCTTCTACCTTGTTCTCACCTTCTACCTTGTTTTAAGATAGGGTCTCTCTTGTTTCTGCCACTTGGCCACAGGCAGGCTGGCCCACAAGTTTCCAGGCCATTCTCCTGTTTCTGCCTCCTTTCTTACCACAGGTGCACTGGGATTACCTTATGTGCACTATCACATCTGGCTTTTTTTTTTTTTTTTTTTTTTTAAACTTTTAAGGCAGGATCTCACTATGTAGCCCTAGATGGCTTAGAACTTGTTATGGAGACTAGGCTAGTCTCAAACTCCTAAAGATCTGCATGCCTTTCCTGCCCAAGTGCTGGGATTAAAATTATGCATCGCCATGCCTAGCCCATTTGTCTTTTTTCTTTATTAATGTGGATTCTGGGGATTCAAAATCAGGTCGTCAGGTTTGCACAGTAAGCCCTTTTACCCACTGAGCCAGCATCCCCTCCCCATATACACCAACAGTTTACTTAAACTATAATTTATAATCTCTCTCAACCTGGCAATTTAAGTACTTTATAAATGTTATTAAACAAATTTGGTGCCTGGGAAAGACTTGATAAAGGATTTGAATATGACAAAAATCATTGGGCTTCATCAAAATTAAGAATTAGCCTTATATTCTAGCATCTTTGAAATAATATCTGAAATAAGTTATAAGCAAGGAAATAATTAAATGTAATGTGAGTTTCTGGGTTGGATTTTCAACCAGAAAAATCATTAGCTGTGATAATTACATTATAAGCCAGCAAAAGACAAAAGTCATCAGTTAAGAGCACTGGCTATCTTTTTTTTAAAGGTCTGAGCAGGTTTATAAAAATACAGGGTTGTAGCTGGGTGTGGTGGCACACGCCTTTAATCTCAGCACTTGGGAGGCAGAGGCAGGAGGATCTTTGTGAGTTCAAGGCCAGCCTGGTCTACATAGTGAGTTCAGGTCAGCTGGGGCTACAGGGAGACCCTGTCTCAAAAAGACCAAAAAAAAAATTTTTTTTTTAATTAAAAAATACAGGGTTGTGGGGCTGTAGAGATGGCTCAGCGGGTAAGAACACTGGTTGTTCTTGCAGAAGACCTGGGTTCGAATCCCAGCACCCACATGGCAGCTAACAACTGTCCGTAACTCCAGTTCCAGGGAACCCAACAGCCTCTTCTGTCCTCTGCAGGCCTTGCACGACACAGGTACACTTACCTACATGCAGGCAATACATGCATATACATAAAATAAAAATAAAAAATAAAATAAAAAGTAAAATACAAGGTTGTTGTTACAATTACTGTTACAGACAAAAAAAATTTTCAGTCCACTTCTCTGTCTTGTACTACACAGCACTGGCTACTTTTACCAAGGACTGGGTTCAGTTCCAGCACCCACACGGCAGCTCACAACTGTCTTTAACTCCAGTTCTAGGGGATCAGATGCCTTCTTCTGGCTTCCATGAACACCAAGCATACATGCAGTGCACAGACATATAAGCAGGCAAACACCCATATACATAAAATAAAAAAATAAAAAGATGCCAGCAAGATGACTCAGCAGGTAAAGGCACTTGCTGCCAAGAGACAACCCCAGGACTCAAATGGAAGGAAATACATACACACACACACACACACACACACACACACACACACACACTTAAATCTAACAAAATTAATCTTGCTTTAGGAAAAAAAGAACACTATAGTAAGTTTGATTACTCAATATAGTTCCCTATTTATAATCAGTGAGTTATGGTTATATACTGTATTAAATTAGCATTTAGGATGGTAGGTAAGGGCTACTCACTTTACTATTTTTTATAATACTGTATTTCTGTATTTTTATAAATCTAAATTGAAATAAAAGTAGAATAAAAAAATGATGAAAAAATTAAAAGTGAGGGCTGGAAGGATGGCTCAGCAGTTAAGAGCACTGGCTGCTCTTGCAGAGGACAAGAGTTCAATTCCAGCACGCACATGGGGGTTAACAATCGTCTATGACTCCAGTTCCAGGGGGAACTCTTCTGACCTCAACTGGCATTATACTCCAACACGGGTGCACTTACATACATGCACACCATATACTCATACACATAAAAATAACAAATTTTTTAAAAAACAATAAAAAATTAAAAGTGAGTACTTTGATGAAGGAATCTTGAATAAATATTTCAAAGTTTAAATAAATCTACCTCAACTTACCTTTTGGGTTTCACAGTTTGGTTCACAGCTGTGATTCATGAAACGGGAGCAATTCCCTTTTTGAGTGGCATCTATTATCTGGGGAAGAAGGTAACTTAAGCGTTTTAAAATGAGATCTTAAAATAGTCACGCATTTTGCAAAAGAAAAGCATTAGGGCAAATTGAAGGTAAAAAATACACACACCCTTTTGCCGCTTGCCCTATTTTAGAGTACTTTCTTATACTACTTTATACATCAAAGTGACCAATATCTATCTAACTGCTTTTTATGAAAGATCTGCTAAATACAATCGGTTTACCTATACACAAAATTATTTCTTGGGGCTGGGGATGATTGTAGCTCAGCTGGTAGAGTGCTTGTCTAACATGCAGGAAATCCTGAGTTCAGTCCTCACTACTGCATAAAACCTGGTACATACTACCACCTAGAACTTGGGAGGTCGAGGCAGGACTATCATAAGTTCAAGGTCATCCTCAAAAACATAGTAAGATTGAAGCCAGCCTAGAATACATGAGACTTTGTCTCAAAACCCTTCATATACACCAATGACTCTTACTTTTAGCTATTCCTTACATTCTATTGCATTTCAATCCTATGTTCAAAATAATTCATTGTAAAGCATATGCTACAGCACAATTCAGTAGCTCTATAACTTGAGTATATGTCCAAACATCCTAGAAAGAGTGAAAATTTGACAGGCCACACTAGAATGATAGTACCTGGGTCTGGAGGTAGGTCCCTAGGATTAGCATTTCCACTCTGAATGTAGAGGCAGATACAAGAATCAAGTAGAACGCTATCAAGCCAGAGAGTAAAGAGATTTACAGAAATGCAAAACATGTCATTAACATGCCATGTCATTTCTCACTAAAATATTTAAAACTTTAAAAAAATATTTTATTACTTTTATTTTATGTGTACGAGTGTATTGCCTGCATGTATGTGAGTGCACCCATGTCATGCAATGCTGTGGAGGTCAAAAGAGGGCTTCAGATTCCCCTGGTACTGGAGTTAAGGACAGCTGGTAGCCGCCACGTGGGTGCTGGGACTCGAACCTGGGTCCTCTGCAAGAGCAGTCAGTGCTCTTAACCGCTGAACCATCTCTCCAGCCCCAAAACATTTTTTCATAGTGCTGTTATTTCTATCAACAAGCAATGTGCTTATTACTTTTTGTTTTTAATATTTTTATTATTTTTATTTTATGTGTATGAGTGTATTGCCTGCATGTATGTAAGTGCACCCGTGTTGTACAATGCCGCGGAAGTCAGAAGAGGGCTTCAGATTCCCTGGGAACTGGAGTTAAGGACAGTTTGTAGGTGCCATGTGGATGCTGGGAATCAAACCCAGGTCCTCTGCAAGAGCAGTGAGTGCTCTTAACCTCAGAGCTATCTCTCCAGCACTGCTTATTATTACTTTTAAATGGACCGATACTTCTAAATTTCTCAGTTTTAAAACAAAACTCACATAAAAACATTGAAGGGGCTAGAGAGATGGACCAGCGGTTAAGGACATTGGTTGCTCTTCTAGAGGACCTGGGTTCAGTTCCCAGCACCCACATGGCGTCTAACAACTGTCCGTAACTCCAGTTTCAGAGGATCTGACACCCTCTTCTGAATTCTGTGGGCATTGCACAGCATGGTGCACTTACATACATGCAAGCAATACATTCATACACATAAAATAAAAATATTTTAAAAACCATTGGGGATCATCAGTAACTTTTTTTTTGGGGGGGGGTGTCTTTTTGAGACAGGGTCTCCCTGTAGCCCCAGGCCTGGAACTCACTATGTAGACCAGGCTGGCCTCCATCTTACAGAGATCTGCTTGCCTCTGCTGGGATTAAAGGCATGTGCTACCATGCCCAGCATTTTTTTTGACTCATTAACTTTTTAAGTTGTCATATGCAGCATGTATATTCATATTTACATATAAATGTAAAGAGCTCCCTCTACCATCATTTTGTAAACAAAAGAAACTTTATACTGTTCTGGTCTTTTTTTTTGGAGATACAGTTTCATGTAGCACAGGCTGACCTAAAATTCACTGTATATAGATAAGGATGATCTAGAACTTGTGCTATTCCTGCCCCTCCTCCCCAGTGCTGGGATTACAGGCATTGTACCACCATGCCGGCTATTTATTTACTTATTCTTGTTTTTTTCTGGCTCCAATTTTTATCACTTTAGATCAGTCAATCAATATCAAAGTGCCCCTCTAAACCCAACAATTTCCAGATGTTTCAAAGTAAACACACCCATGCTGCTCACCTCATCATTTTTCAGAGCCATGAAATAGTAGTGGATGTTTTTGTTTCGTGCATATTCCTTCACCCGAGCTTTAAACTCTTTATGATCAAGTACCTCTCCACAATATTCCAGGACAAAGGTGTTCCTGCAAAACATGGAAAAAAAAAGCACTTCCAGCCTAGGAGCTATGTGGAAAACTTATAAATCCAGGCAAAACTAATAGTTATATAGTGCAAAGTATTTAGCATGCAACCAATGCCCAACCTGGCCTTGACACTGATCCTCCTGCCTAACCACTTGAGTGCTTGATGCACGCAATAGCCAATCGCCACCACACATTGCTCTTTCCTAATATATTTATTTTTTAAAGATTCAGGACTGAAGAGATGGCTCAGTGGTTAAGAGCACTGGCTGTTCTTGCAGAGGACCCAGGTTCAATTCCCAGCACCCACATGGTGGCTAACATCTGTGCATAACTCCAGTTCTGGGTGAATCTGACACCTTCTTCTGACCTCTGTTCGGGCATTGCACAACATGGGTGCACTTACACTCATGCGGGCAATACACTCACACACATAAAATAAAAATAGGGGCTGGAGAGATGGCTCAGCAGTTAAGAGCACTGACTGCTCTTGCAGAGGACCCAGGTTCGATTCCTAGCACCCACATGGAAGCTACGAACCGTCCTTAACTCCAGTTCCAGGGGAATCCGAAGGCTTCTTCTGACCTCCGGGGCATTGCACGACATGGGTGCACTCACATACATGCAGGCAATACACTCATACACATAAAATAAAAATAATAAATATTAAAAAAAAATAGCAGCTTTTCTGCCCCTACTTTCAAAGTTCTCTAATGATGATAAAGGTCAAATTTGTCTCTGGTTTGTTGGCCGATCTCACTGTCCAGTGAGAAATATCAGGAATCTGTAAGAAAGTTGTGCAAAATGGCAATGGAAGAGCCTTATTTGTGCAAAGAGATAGTACCAAGAATAGGCCAGTTAACTCCAATTACCTCACGCCAGACAGCTATATGTGGATAGAAGTAATTGTTAAAAGTGGGGAGAGGGAGGTAGGGAGAGAAGAGGGCAAGGGAGAGGAGGAAGGTGGACAACAAGGAAGAAAAAGGGAAGAGAAGGGGAGGGGAGAAGTGGGGAGGAAACTATTTATAAAGGAAATAAAGTAGCAGCTGTGCTTCCAGACCTGGATTTGGGCCAAAGACAGAATTGGGGAGTTGCCTACCTTTTCTTTGAACAGGTTAACAAATTTCACAAGTACCTTCAATAAGGGTACATGAAGTAATTGTAGCTTTTTTTAAAAATATTTTATTTTTATTTTATGTGTATGAGTGTTATGCCTGCATGTAGGTAAGTGCACCCGTGTCGTGCAGTGCCCACGGAGGACAGAAGAGGCTGTCGGAGCCCCTGGAACTGGTTACGGACAGTTGTTAGCTGCCATGTGGGTGGTGGGGTTCAAACCTGGGTCTTCTGCAAGAACAGTCGGTGTTCTTAACCGCTAAGCCATCTCTCCAGCCCCCAATTGCAACATTTTATATAATGTATAACCTAGAACCAAATGGAAAGTACTACTTTCAAGTCTGCATCACAATACCATTGCCTGCTCTCAAACTGACAAACTGTAAGTCATTCAGAATATGTTCAGAATAGAGGTTGAGAAGACCACACTCTATAAGCATGAAAGGCAAACTTCAGTCTTACAGAAGTAAGCTGTTCAGGACCTATATAAATACACCGAAGGTTCAAATAAATGATGATAACTATTATGAGTAACACCTAAGGGATATTAAAGTAATTATGATGAGCTCAAACTGGAAAAATTACAAAACCCAGGCCAAGGAGTAGATTACCTCTCTGATGAGCCACATGGACCTCTATGAACCATCCAAAGTGGTTTTGGTGTACAAGCAGGGCTTTTTAAAATAATATTTTATTTATTATTTTTATTTTATGTGTATTGTCTGAATGTATGTATGTGCACCTATGTTGGGCAGTGCCCATGGAGGTCAGAAGAGGGTATGAGATTCCTCTGAACTGGAGTTACAGATAGTTGTTAGTCACCATGTAGTCACTGGGTCCTCTGAGAAAGTAGCCACGTCTCTTAACTGCTGAGCCATCCCTCCAGTCCCCAAATTTTATTTATTTTTATGTATATGAATGCTGTGTGTGCATTTATGTAAGTGCACCTGTGTCACGCAATGCCCACAGAGGTCAAAGGAGGAAATCAGAACCCCTGGAACTGGAGTGAAGGACAGTTGTTAGCCACCATGTGGGTACTGGGAACTGAACCCAGGTCCTCTGGAAGAGAATTTAGTGTTCTTAACCACTGAGCCATCTCTCCAGTCCCAGCAAGCAGGGTTTTAAATTTAGATTCAACTATAATGTATCACTGGCTGGGGTGGGGTGGGGGGGAGAAGAACTTCCCTCTGTATTAAAAAACAAATTTAAAAAAATTAGTACCTTTTCTCTGATAGTATTCCGAGTTCTCTGTAGCATTTATCAATCATTATGATGAATTTTTCCTTGTCCTCTCTCAATTATCTTACATACCTGATTGTTTCCTTGGTTACTTACCTATTTCTAATGAAGATTTTAAATCTCAAGTCTCTTCCCATTCCTTTATTCTCTAAAAGCTAATTATCACTAATGATTTCAACATTGGCTTTATAGAGACAAATACTTTGGTATGCTTTGCTCCTAAGTTTTAACCTGAAAGAGCTTGCCTAGAAGATTTTTTTTTAATTTACTTATTTTATAAGTGTTTTGTATGCATGTATTTAAGTACCACATGTGTGTAATGCCTACAGAGGACAGAAGAAGGTCTTAGATCCCTCTGAAACTGGAGCTACAGACAGCTGTTAGCCACCATGTTAGTGCTGGGAACTGAAGCCAGGTCCTCTGCAAGAGCAGTCTGTGCTCTTAACCACTGAACCATCTCTCCAGTCCCCTGCCTGGAAGTTTTAATCCTCAAACTAAGCATGGTCCAAATATAAACAAAACCATTTAAAAAAAAAAAAAAGTATAGCTCTCTGACAAGAAAAACTGCTTACCTGCCTGTCAAGAGACAAAATACTCTTCATGTATATATAAACAAAATGAACTTTTTACTTTATTTTCTAAAAATCAATCTAACAAACTAGCTATCCAAGTAGTCATTCTGCATAATGATATTATTAAATATCACTCCAATAAATTATTTTCCTACAAAATGCCTGACCAAGTTCAATAACAAAAAATGAAGTGAAAGTTGGGCATGGTGGTGCACGCCTTTAATCCCAGCACTCAGGAGACAGAGATAGGTGAATTGAGGCCAGCCTGGTCTAATACTGAGTTCCAGGCCAGCTGGGACTACAAGGAGACTGTCTCAAAAAGACCTAAACAAAATAAAAAGGTGAAATAAAAGGTGTTTAAAACAAAACTTACGAGGGAAGATCCTTGGCAGCTCTTAAGCCCCAGCCTTTCTTTTCTGTAAGTATAACTTCCACATCTGCATGCTGTTTTCTCTGAAATCGTCTATTAGAACAATAATCCCCATTTGGACATCGAGAAGAACTGAAATGAGAAACAGATGAAAGTTAATCCTTTAAATACTATAAAGAACCACAACATTTTTGCTAGAATGTGTTACTAAACAACATATAGCCACCTTTACCACATAACTACTTTATGTGTGGTTAACCAAGTGTGCCTCAGTATTCTTATTTCCAACACAAAGATATTCCTTAGAAATCAGTGTCTACATTGTTACATATCTACTATACAATCTGGTCATTTGGCCATCAAGAGAAAGATTTGTCTACCACTTTCTAGTGTCTAAAATTCACTTCCAGGTGCGCATTTAATCCCAGCACTCAAGAGATAGAGGTAAGTGAATTGAGGCCAAGCCTGGTCTACACAGTGAGTTCCACGCCAGCTGGGGCTATAAGTGGACCCCATCTCAAAAAGACCAAAATAAATAAATAAAGTACATTAACCTAGAGAGATAGTATATGTGTGTACACATGTAAAGGTCAGAGGACAACATGAAGAAATTGGTTCTCTCCTACTATGTGGGATTCAGGGACCAAACTTAGGTCATCAGGCTTAGAGGCAAGCACCTTTACCTGCTGAGCCATCTCACCAACCCACAGTTCTTAGTCTCCTACCAATAGACATCTGATTCACATTATTCTTATTTTGTTTAAACTAACTTAGTTTATGTGCACTTTCACTTACACGCCACTCAAAAATCATTAATTTGGCCTTTGAATACAGCTAACTGCTTGATGTTTTAGATAATCAAAGTTATTATAAAACATAGCATGTTTAGAGTAAATGCAAAATAATATGGTAAAACTCTAATGGACCCTAGCAATATAACAATAACGAAAAACATTTATTGAAATCTTATATTCCCAAACTGTCAGATACAAAGGTTTTTAATAACTATTAAGGTTACAACATACACATACAAAAATTAAAGAAAAGAAATACATATGAAATATAAAAAGATTAGGGGGGAAAAAAGAAAATGCAGCTAAGGGAAAAATTTAGGTGGGTCTGTATGTGCAATTCTGATTGTATGATTACCAAACATATACAAAATAAGTTTTGGGGGGCTAGAGAGATGGCTCAGCAGTTAAAAACACTGACTGTTCTTGCAGAAGACCTGGGTTCAAATCCCAGCACCCACATGATGGCTAACAACTGTCCATAACTCCAGTTCCAAGGGATCCGACAGTCAGTCTCTTCAGAAGAGGGCTTCTTCTGTCAGAAGAGATCAGAAGAGGGCTTCAGATTCCCCTGGAACTGGAGTTAAGAACGGTTTGTAGCTGCCATGTGGGTGCTAGGAATCGAAACCAAGTCCTCTGCAAGAGCAGTCAGTGCTCTTAACTGCTGAGCCATCTCTTCTGCCCCACCATCTATTAAACATTAATGGTTTTATTGCTTGTAAATATTCATTTACAGGTAAGAATAAGGGCAAATTTTATTCATTACTTTTAATTTAAAGACAGTAAGAGTTGAGTAAAAGCACTTAAATTTACTTACCATTCAATCATGAGGAGACGATTAAGACAATCTTCTCCACAAGCTATTTCACCTTGAGCTCTTTCATCTTTAGAAAGAGGTGTACACTCACACTGCATTCGCTTAATATCCCGATGGGATTTATTCTTCTTTCTATTTGGTAAAAATTCAAAAAGGTTGGTGACAATTACATAAGTCAACCAAACCAATGCTGAATCTCATTAGTTTTAAGTGTATTTATTTAAATCAACCATTCAAAAAGAAGAAAACACTCAGAAGATGGAGAATACACAGTGAGTTTAAGGCCAGCTTGGGTTAAAATAGCAAGACCCTACCCTCCTCCAAACATGCCCCAACAGTTTAAACATCTAATCACTGGCACTTGTCAGACCAAAAACTCGGCTAAGTGTGGTGGTGTATTCTGAAGGAAGAGGGACATAAGTTCAAGGCTTGCCTAAGCTACACAGTGAATGTAAGGCCAGTCTGGACAATTCAACAAGACCCTGCATCAAAAAAATGGGGTGAAAGGGTGCTGATAAGATGGCTCAGCAGTTAAGAGCATTTGCTGCTCTTACAAGGTTCAGTTCCCAAGACCACTTGGCAACTCACACACATTTTAACCCCAGTTCTAGAGGATCCTACATTCTCTTCTGCCTTCTAGGGACACCAGGCATACATACACGGAGTACACATATATACTTGCAGGCAAAACACTCATATTGTGAGTTTCAAATAATAAGGTGGCTGATTAACCAAAGTTTAAGAATCATAGACTTCACCATGGTGGCACAGGCCTATAATCACAGCACTCACAGGCAGCTGAGACAGGAAGATCTTGAGTTCAAAGCCAACCTGGACTATACAGCAAGACCCTGTTTCAAAGAAAGAAGAAAAACAGAAAAGGAGAAAAAAAAAGACCTAATCTCATAAGGAAAAAATAATTTAGCTATAAAGCTCAGAAAAACAACTGCTAAATAAAAGAGGCTTAATCAAGAGATTTAATTCAACCAGAGATAGGTATGTTAGCATATGCCTATAACCCCAGCACTGGAGAGGCTGAGGCAAAATATCAGTTTTGAGGCCAGCATGGGCTACTTAACATGTTCCAAGCCAGTCTAGGTTAGACTTCATTTAAAAAAAAAATTTATGCCAGGCATGGTGGTGCACGCCTTTAATCCCAGCACTTGGGAGGCAGAGGCAGGCAGATCTCTGTGAGTTCAAGGCCAGCCTGGTCTACATAGTGAGTTCCAGGACAGCTGGGGCTACAGGGAGACACTGTCTCAAAAAGACAAAAAAAAAAAAAAAAGTTTATGCCTTTAGTCCCAGCACTCAGGAAGCAGAGGCAGTCAGATTTCTTTGAGTTCCAGGCCAACTGGGGCTACGGAGAAGACCCTGTCTCAAAAAGACCAAAATAAAAGTTTAAGTCAACCAAATCTTTTATTGAACCCCTTAGTAGTTATCAAAGTAGTATAAATCTGTTTAAAAGTGATCTTTAAAAATGAAGTATGAGGCTGGGTATGGTGGTAGACACCTTTAATCCCAACACTCCAGGGACAGAGGTAGGCAGATCTCTGTGAGATGGAGGCCAGCCTGATCAACCATGTGCCACACTAGCTGGGGCTACTGGAGACCCTGTCTCAAAAAAAATCAAAACAAAAACGAAGTAGGACTTTAAAATCATCAGAGCCAAAAATGGTATTCCTGGTAGAAGCAGCTACTCAAGAGGCAAAGGCAGGACAGCCTGATCCAAGGAATTCTGGCCCAACCTAGGTAATATGGTGAGACATAATATTAAAAGCAATAAATGTGCTGGACGTGATGGTGCATGTCTCTAATCCCAGCACTCAGGAGGCAGGGGCAGGAGAATCTCCCAGTTCAAGGCCAGCCTGATCTGCATAGTGAGTTCCAGGCCAGCAGGGACTACAGGGAGACCCTGTCTCAAAGACGAAAATAAAATAAAATAAAATAAAATAAAGGGAAAAAGTGGGGGCTTTTTTAAAAGGGAAGTGGGGGGGAATAAGACGGGTCAGTGGTTAAAAGCACTAGCTGTTCATCCAAAGGACCCAGGTTCAGTTCCCTGCACTCACAAGGCAGCTAACAATCATTTCTAGCTCCAGTTCCATGGTATTTGATGTATTCTTCTAGCCTTCGCAGACACTGTACACACATGGTGCACTTATAAACATGTAGGCAAAACATTCGTATAAACTTTTTTTAAATTAAGATGAAAAACTGAATTAGCTTAATTGTACTTTGTCTTTTTGAGATAGGGTCTTCCTTTCAGCCCCACCACCTGGCCTAGAACTCACTATGAGACCAGGCTGGCCTTGAGCTCAGAGATCTATATCTTACTACCTCTGCCTCCCAAGTGCTAAGCTTAATGGCATGTACCACCACCACCTGGCTTTAACTGTACTTTTAAAACCAAAGTAATTAGAGAAAAAAAACTAGACACCCTCTTTTTAAAAAAATATTTTAAAAATTATTTATTTTTATTTTATGTGTATGAGTATATTGCCTGCATGTAGATAGATGCACCTGTGTCAACGTGCAATGCCCGCGGAGGACAGAAGAGGCTGTCAGATCCCCTGGAACTGAAGTTATGGACAGTTGTTAGCTACCATGTGGGTGCTCAAACTCGAACTTAAGTTCTGAGGAAGAGCAGTCAGTACTCTAAACTGCTGAGTTATTTCTCCACCCCATAGTTTTATACTTTTACTCCAATAAAAGAAGCCATAATAAGTAGAGATTGAGTATTCTGACAATTTTATGTTGCTTGTTTCTCTGGTCTCTGTCAAAGCACTTAACAGTGTGTAAGTAACTTCTAATAACTCTTTCCTATGGTATGATAGCTACCTTGGACTAGAAAAATGACTCAGTCCTGTCTTTCAAAGAAAAAGAATTATTTATTTTTATTTTATGTGTATGAGTATATTGCCTGCATGTAGATAGATGCACCTGTGTCATACAATGCCCTTGGAGGTCAAAAGAGGGCGTTAGCTCCCCTGGAACGGGAGTTAACAGTTCCTAGTCGCCATGTAGGTTCTGGGAACCAAACCCAGGTCCTCTGCAAGGGCAACCAATGCTCTTAACCACTGAGTCATCTCTCCAGCCCCCAAACACCTCTTTTTATTTTATTTTATTTTTTTATTTTGGTGTTTTGAGACAGGATCTCCCTGTAGCCCATGCTGGCCTGGAACTTACTATGTAGACCAGACTTGGACCTGAACTCACAGAGATCCGCCGGCCTCTGCTGGGATTAGAGGTGTGTGCCACCATGCCCAGTTAATTTTTTATTTTATATTTTAATCACCCAACTCTTATTTCAATCTAAACCGTCGAAAAGCTAATTTTTTTTTTAATGAAAAGCAGATAAAATTTCTTAGACAAGGACTAATTAAGCTCACCTTTCTGTTAAATAGACATTTTCTTCAATAAGATCAAAGTAACAAGGCATCTTCCCCTGCTTGGCACATTCCTTCCACCGTTGTGGGTCTCTGAAGTCATCCATAACACAGGAAGGCCCAATCAGCTCTGAGCTTAGAGGCACTGGTATCTCTCCCTGTTCAATCTCCACTCTAACTTTCTTCCTATCCTGGAGCTCACCATCACTTTCGGAATCACTCTCTAGTTCTTGCCTTCGTTTTTTAGGAGGTCCTCTATCTTTGATGTCATTTTTTTCCATGTTTTTTGAAAAATCTTTCCTTTCATTCATAGCAAAAGAGTCCTTAATGGAATTGCTGCTTATTTCAGGTGCTTGCACTGATCCCTTGTCCTTTTGAAGGGAGAAAAATTTATTGGATTGGCTTGGAAAATGGGATCCACTTCGTTGATCCCAATTCTCTTCTTCACGGTCATCTGTTAGAGAATCTGGCACCTGCCCTTGAATTCGATCACAAACAACCACAGTGCCAGGAGGTCTGCCTGCTGATCTTGGATCCCAATAGCCATTGCCTTGCCAATAATTATGGGTCCCACCATAATGTTCAGCACTTTGCTGATACTTGTGTGCACCACAGGTCCCATAGCTACTGTCAGGTTGCTGGTATGTGGTAGTAGGCCCTTCTTGTTGTGAGAAGTTCCACCCTAGGTTTCTGAGCTCTTCTGATGAGTGTAAGCCATCCATTCTGGAAATGTCACAAGAGGAAGAAAAATTCAGCTCTGTTTTTCCCAGTCTACTGCTATCTGCCCTGTTAGAGAAAAAGATCTGTTGCCGAGACTTACTTGGGACATCTTCAAAATCATCAGAATAAACTGGAAGTTCCTGCCTAGATGATGTTTTGGCTCTTATTGTTTCCTCTGAATTCAGATGAACTAGAAGGTTTGATTTCACATCTGTATGACTTGTACTATCAACTCCATCACTCTGAGGATGAGCAATTTCAGACAGGAGATTATCTTTTCTGTTGAATTGTGTAAAAGAAGTTTCTGGATTTTTCTCTATTCCTTTATGAAGAAAGAACTTTTCAGTTTGAGAACAGCCTTTACTTGTCATACTCTCAAATTTTTCCTCATAAGAATGTCTCCTTGACTCTAATCTCTCATCTTCCCAATGGTCAGAAAAATGTCTGTAACTCTGACTACTCCGAGAAGAACAGGGGCTTGTTTCTTCCATAGGCAAAGTAGAATTCTTTGGCACAACCACAACTGACTGAAGACGATTTCTTGGAATACTGCTATCATCAGATTCTGTATCTTCTGAATCACTTTCATCACTTGAACTTCCAGAAGATCCAGAATAATCTTCATGGATACTAGACACAATTTCTGGAGCATGACCACTACTGTCACATTTTAAGGTATAAGTTACACCATCACTTTCTTCCATGGTTAAACTTAAATCACAAGAAGAAAATACAACTTCTGAATCATCAGAAGTATGTGTATGCCCTCTTTGTTCTTCCTCATCTAAAGAGATTTCTCTTCTATCAGGTAATATGGAATCCCCTTCTTCTTGAGCCTCTTGTAAACACTGCCCAGACAATCCATTATTATGCCTGTTTTCCCAGGAAGCAAATTCCTTTCCTGAATCTGGAAAGGCACTACCTACTTCTACTGTTTCTTTCCCTGCATACTTTAAATTTTCTGTGCTCTTTTTACTCTTCAGCACTGCATCTAGAACTGGAGATGTGTCCTCATCACATTTTATTCTTGGTGGAAGACTCTGATGAGATACAATAATACCTGAACTCCCTATAGGCTCATATAAATCATCCAAATGGTTACCTGAAGCTGAACTAGTGCTACCAATGCTCTGCTTATATTCATCACATACAAATTTTGATTGCTGATCTGTCATATTTCTATTATCACATTTAACTGTTTTTGATTCCAAATGCACATTCACATTCATAAAGCTATTTGAAGAAATCTTTGTAACTGAAGGCTCAGTATTTTCAACTTCAGGATAACATAAAGAAGGGTCACTCTCATTTGCAGCACAGAATCTATCTGAATCTTTGGTTTTGCAGCAAGAAACTTTCTTATCAACTGGTTCTTTAATTACTGTTTTGGAATAATCCACAGTCTTAATTGGCAAAGACATGAGTTTATCATGGCGTGGCGACACCAGAGATTCTGTTTCCCTAAATGGACTTTTTGACTTACTATGCTGCGTGCAAGCATCATCTGAGTCTTCTTTACATCTACTAATATTCTGAAACCCATTTGATGAAAGCAAACAAGCCTTGACCAAAGGGGATACCTCTGACCCAGTCACACTATCATCAGAAGTCATCAAAATCGCATCAGTTTTGGAAGTGCAAAATGTTACCACATCAGATTCTGTCCCAGGAGATCCATTTATATTAAATTCAATGGGACAAAGATTTCTTATTTCATCATTTTTCACTTTTGATAATGAGTCCAATTCTTTAATACTATCATGGCTATCATGTCCTATAAATTCAGACTTAAGAATAGGTGATTCATCCAGCTTTTTGAAAGTAGGCAAATCATTTAATTGATTTGATGGAGATGGAGACCCAGTCTTTTCTCTTTCAGGAATTTTACTAATTATTCTTAATTCACTACCTTTTGAACAAGGAGTCTGCAAACTAAAATGAGATTGTTTGCTTTCCTCATTTAATTCTGCACAACAGAAAGAATTTTTAAATTTATCAGACTTGGATATAGGTTTTGAAAGGGCAGATTTATAACGAGAAGCACTATTATCATGCTTGGAATATGATGATGACCCCCGTCGGAATCCCAGTTCACTAGGGGGAGAACAACATCTTTTTATTCCTTCGTGTTCTGAAGTCCTTTTGGATTCCCTTTCTAGTTTTGAGGAATACCTTCCTCTTCTCTCCATCTCTACATACAAGTTCTCAGTTTTACAGTCCCGATCAAATTTAGAATAGGATGAAGATGTCCTTAGGTCTCTATACGAGGAATGAGATGAGGAGGTGCGCCTTGAATATGTCTTCTTATACTCATCTTCAGAGTCTGAACTCTCCCGAGCTCTGTTATCTGTATAGGGCCGAGAATAGCGTGTCCTCTCACGATAGGGGGAACTTCTATGATATCGCCGATCAGAATCATAATAATGAGATCGTTCAGACCGAGAATAGGATAAACTAGTTCTAGAGCCTCTGTCAGATCTAGAACGAGATCTGCTCCGCCTTCGTTCTCGTTCAGACCTACATCGAGAAGATACATATCGAGCATCTCTTTCAAGCTTTGAGTAGCTGAAGTATTTATCATCCCTCTCTGTTTTAGATCGTGATGATTTCCCAAAATCCTCACTTTTTAAAGGTGCTGAGCTCTTTTTGAAATCTCTTTCCTTTTCAATGCTTGCTGAAAATTTTAAATCATGTGATCTTTGACTAGAAGAAGTCCTTACAGAATCTTCATCAGATTCTGAACCAAGAAATGTACCTTCAAATTGTGAAGATTTCTTCTTAGAACCTGCTTTTTTAGAGCTGAGGTTTATCTTAGAACTATCTGAAATTTCTTCTTCCCTCCCAATATGGGAATGTTCTTTTTGCAGGGGATTCTCTGCTCCGTCCTTCAAATTTTGGGTTGTATGTTCTTCCAAACTATTAGATACAGTATCCTGTTTAATATCCACTTCTAAGGACTCTGGTATAATTTTAACTGATGATTCTTTCTGGGCTCTAGCTGCTACATCTTCTGGTAAGGGTACTGGTGCTGTCATTACTACTGTTACTGATGTGTGTGGCAAAGCCACTGGCTCTGATATTGGTGCTGGTGGTGAAGGTATTGTAGCTTGGGGTGGTGGTGGTGGTGGAGGTGGAGATGAAGGTGGTGAATCTACAGTTGATTCTGCTATGACTGCTGGTAACTGTACTGTGGGAGGAGGTGGAGACACTACTGCTGTTGTAGTAGTCAGCAGTGGCCTGGATGTCACATGAAGCAGATGTTTCTTAAAATGGATTCTGCCCAATTCCACTCTTGATTTTGATGGGGAAGATTCTTCTGTATTAGGCAAAGTATCTCCAATGTCCATTTTAATTTTAGGGTTTGAGTCTACTGGAAGAGGTGTAGCTGGGGAGTTTGGAGTATCATTTTGCTTTTCATTGCCAAGTGCAGTGAGAAACCTATTCTGCAGAGTTTTCTTTGTAAGGCTGAAGCTGAATGACACCTTTTGTCGTCCCTGTTCCTCCAAATTAACTTTTGTCTTCGTGCCTTTGGGCAAAAAACGACTAGAAGCAACACCTTTGAACATTGGTCCTTTGATGAAACTTGTTTTCTGCACATTTTCAATCTTTGCCTACAAAAGAACAAAACAATTACTAAAACAATGAATAATGTCTCAAATGGCCAAAATCACAGTTCAAAATGTTTGTCAGGGAAATTAAAAAAAAAAAAACTTTAAAAACAGTATGACTTTCACTATGCTACAAATACAATTTATAAGATCTTTATTATGGAAAATTTAAGCATATTCAAAAGTATTAAAAAAAATGTCACTTAATATTCATCCCCAGCTTCAGGCATTACCTCTATTTTTTCCCATCCGACATTAAAGATTTTATTTTTAATTTTTTTATTTTGTGTGTATACGTGTATTGCCTGCATGTAAGTACACCATGTCGTGAAATGCCCAAGGAGGTCAGAAGATGCTGTCAGATCCCCTGGGCCCAGAGTTACGGACAGCTCTTAGCTGCCATGTGGGTGCTGGGTTTCGAACCCAGGTCTTCTGCAAGAACAACCAGTGTTCTTAACCTCTGAGCCATCTCTTCAGCACCTAAAGATTTTTAAGAGAGTTTGCCTTTCTTCCGTTTTTGTGTTTTTATTTGTTTGGGTTTTTTTGTTGTTGGTAGTGGTGGGTTTTGTTTTTTGGGTTTTTTTGAGGCAGGGTCTCCCTTTAATCCCACCTGGCTAGAACTATGTAAACCAGGCTGGCTTTGAACTCAGTGATTCTCCTGCCTCAACCTCTCAAGTGCTAGGATTAGAAGCATGTACCAATCTAAATACCATCAAATTATATTGTATGAAAAAAAAAAATCACAAAAATTCAATTAAAAATTTTTTAAAAAAGAAGCACAGCCGGGCATGGTGGTGGTACATGCCTTTAATCCCAGCACTTGGGAGGCAGAGGCAGGCA